CAATCGGGGAGCCGTTCGAGCATGTGCTCATAGACTGTGTTGGGCCGTTGCCTAAAACAAAATCGGGTAACCAGTTTTTGTTTACCATAATGTGCATGTCTACTAGGTTTCCAGAGGCAATTCCACTGAGAAAAATCACCGCACCCGTTATTGTCAAAGCATTAGTGAAGTTCTTTTCCACTTTCGGTCTTCCGAAAATAGTACAAAGCGATCAGGGCACAAATTTTTTATCAAGACTTTTTAAACAAGTGCTGGAGTCTTTAGAAATTTCTCACCGAGTTTCAAGTGCGTACCATCCACAAAGCCAGGGCGCACTTGAACGCTTTCACCAGACACTTAAGTCGATGCTTAAGAAGTACTGCATGGACACTGCTAAAGACTGGGATGAGGGGGTTCCCTTAGTATTATTCGCGGTAAGAGAGACTGTACAAGAATCTCTTGGTTTCAGTCCAGCCGAACTTGTATTCGGACATCAGATGAGAGGACCTTTGAAAGTTTTTAAAGAACACATTTTGACCACTGTTTCAAGTCCTCACACGAATGTACTGGATTATGTGAGTAAGTTTCGAGATCGTTTGCATACTGCTTGGTCACTAGCTAAAGAATCTCTAGGAAATGCTCAGAAAAGCATGAAGCGCAAGTATGATCAGAGAGCAGTTGCGCGTTCGTTTTCAGCCGGTGATAAAGTGTTGGTGCTTTTACCTGTTCCAGGATCATCTTTGTCCGCCCGTTTCTTTGGTCCTTATGTGGTGAAACAGAAAATGAGTGAAACTGACTATGTGCTTTACACACCTGACAGAAAACGTCAAACCCGAGTTTGTCACATAAACATGCTAAAAGCTTACCATGACAGGGAGATGCCTGAGGTGAAAACTTCAGAGGAGACTGCAGGGCCCGCTGTCTCATCTGTCGCATTAGCCGTGGATCTGTTAAAACCTGTTGATATCTCGGGGGCTGACGAGGATGGGGTCGTGCTTCGCAATGCTCCTCAGCAGTGTGCAAGGTTAGCTAATTCCGAGATTTTAAAAGATCTTCACTCGTATCTGAATCATTTAACTCCTGACCAGAGAACTGACATTGTTAAAATAATATCTGATTTTAACTGTCTGTTTAGTGATGTTCCTAAACAAACAAATGTTTTACAACATGATATTGTTGTAAATGATGCTCGTCCTATTAAGCAACATGCTTATCGCATAAATGCAGTCAAGAAATCTGTTATGCGTCAAGAAGTGAATTATCTGCTTGAGAATAATTTAGCCAGGCCTAGTTGCAGTCCCTGGAGTTCTCCGTGTCTTCTCGTTCCTAAACCTGACGGCACGTATAGATTTTGTACGGATTTCCGTAAAGTGAACGCCGTAACGGTGCCAGACAGTTATCCGTTACCGCGAATGGAAGACTGTATTGATAATCTTGGGTCTGCTCGCTTTGTTACAAAGCTGGATATGCTGAAAGGGTACTGGCAGGTACCACTTACTCCACAAGCGTCAGATATCTCAGCATTTGTAACACCAGACAAGTTCCTCCAATACACAGCGATGGCTTTCGGACTCAGAAACGCTCCAGCCACCTTTCAGCGTCTTGTAAATATCGTCTTAGCTGATGTACCGAATTGCAATGCGTATCTTGATGATTTAGTTTTATATTCAGTGACTTGGAAGGAACATGTGTGCTTGTTGAGAACTGTGTTCGAACATCTACGTGCAGCTAACTTAACTCTCAACTTGGCAAAGTGTGAGTTTGGTCGAGCGACTGTCACTTATCTGGGTAAAGAGGTTGGACAAGGCCAGGTACGACCAGTGGAGGCTAAGGTTACCGCTATTGCAGATTTTCCAGTCCCTACCACTCGACGACAGTTGCGAAGATTTCTAGGTATGGCTGGTTATTACCGCAGTTTCTGTAAAAACTTCTCAACCGTTGTTACTCCTCTCACCTCGTTGCTTAGTCCATCTAAACTTTTTAAATGGTCTGTGGAGTGTCAGAATGCTTTTGATTGTGTCAAAATGCTTTTATGTAATGCACCTGTTCTCGTTGCACCTGATTGTACGCATACTTTCAAGCTTGAGGTCGATGCCAGTGCTGTTGGAGCAGGAGCTGTTCTTCTTCAGGAGGATACCCATGGTATAGATCATCCTGTGAGTTATTATTCCCGTAAGTTTAATAAACATCAGCTTAACTATTCTACCATTGAAAAAGAAGCACTTGCTCTCTTGCTTGCTCTCCAGCATTTCGAAGTTTACCTCGGTTCCAGTAGTCTTCCTATCACAGTCTTCACCGATCATAACCCTCTAGTGTTTTTATCCAGGATGTACAATCAAAACCAGCGTTTGATGCGCTGGGCTCTAGTACTCCAGAATTATAATTTGGAGATCAAGCACAAAAAGGGTGTTGATAATGTTTTGGCTGACGCTCTTTCGAGAGTGTAAAAATATTGTCTGTTTTAACTTGTTTTTCACAAACAGGTTTGCTCTTAAGGGTGGGAGTGTTACGTCCCTGTGGTTCCGCGTGTGTGTTTTCTTTTGGTTTCTCTTTCTCTGCTATCACCTTCTTAGGTGTGCGTCCTCACTCATCTGCTGTTGGCTGGGAGAGATGTCAATCATCATTACATCGTGACGTCATCTCCTTCCCGCCGCCTATCAAGTTCAACACTCGAGTTTAAAGGGAAGCGGGAGAGGAACGCATGTGGGCTTGCTTTCTTTTCTGTCGCTTTGCTTGCCGCCTTTGTGTTTATTTTCCGTTACAGATATTGTCCTGTTGTTTTTTCTTTCTGCCATGACGGCGTGTTTTGAGATTACCAAGTGTAATGTGTTCTGCCATGACGGCGTGTTTTGAGATTACCAAGTGTAATGTGTTTTGCCATGACGGCGTGTTCTGAGATTGCTAAGAGTAATGTGTTCTGCCATGATGGCGTGTTTTGAGGTTACCAAGAGAAATTCGGACAGGTAATATGTCACGTGACGTACACAAAGCAACACTTAGCAAACTCGATGTATACAAACCCCAGGTAGGGAAGTGAACGCCACCCATGGATGTTTTGTTATTAGTTAGAACAGCTAGAGAGGGCGCTTAGGCGCTGAAGATTACTGTCTTTTCTTTTCTTTTTGTTATTAGTTAGTAAGAGGTTGGGACTAGATAGTCGGAGTTTGTTTTGTTTCTTTCTTTTATTTGGCGTCACTATTTATGTCCTTATTCTCTTGGGTTGTTTATTTTTTTGAACTCTCAATCTGTTTATATTTTGTTTATTTTCTTGGTGTCCACAAATATATTTATCATCATTATTATTATTGTCCATCTTTTGCATTTACACTTCAAGTACAATAAACCGTACTTTATTTTCTTTCATAATACTTTGTTGTGTCGTCTCTTGCCACCTTAAATACACCATCTTCTGGTCACGACCTCAATGTTGCCCCTTTAAAGACCTTTTGTCTAAGGGTGCGTAACAATGGGGCTAATCTGATGTACAATGCTTAGTGTGCTTAATGTATTCAGTCACTTAAATAAGTAGCTGTCACATCACTTCCTCTTAATGTAATTCATAAAAGAGCAGTTAGTGGTTAGAGATTTCGACTTTTAAGACAGCAGGTCTGAAAGGTTAGTGACCTTTGAATGGATAGCAACTCTTGTGTTATGTAATACAACCAGTAAAACAATACAGCTTCTCATATCATTACAGGATTTCAGTTTTTCTCTGCTCACCACTTTCACTTATCACATGATGCACATTATATTGATTTTAAAGCAGATAGTGTAACTATTGTTGATGATCAGGATAGGGAGTACAAGAGGAAAGGTTGTTCACTGTTTATCAGTATGTATGGTGTGTTAATGCAGTATAGCATGTATGATAAGATCAATCTCTCTCTCTCTCTCTCTCTCTCTCTCTCTCTCTCTCTCTCTCTCTCTCTCTCTCTCTCTCTCTCTCTCTCTCTCTCTCTCTCTCTCTCTCTCTCTCTCTCTCTCTCTCTCTCTCTCTCTCTCTCTCTCTCTCTCTCTCTCTCTCTCTCTCTCTCTCTCTCTCTCTCTCTCTCTCTCTCTCTCTCTCTCTCTCTCTCTCTCTCTCTCTCTCTCTCTCTCTCTCTCTCTCTCTCTCTCTCAGGGCAGTCACATAGCTCTGTGGTGATGTCATATCCTGAATGTCACCGCAAACCCACTAGAGATTCTTGAAACATTCACTTTGCTTTCAAATCAACTCTCAAATGAACAGTTCATTATATTGAGAAAGTAAAAAAATCTTCTTCATCCCACCACTTTCTGAAGATAATCATAATATAATAGAAGAGACTGGGGTAAGTTGTCACACGATTTAATCTTAATATTTTTCAGAGTAAACTTGTATTTCAAATTCAATTTCTGCATACCTTTAAGTGTACATTAACATTAAAGTATTAAAACATTAAAGTATATGTACCCCAAATACCCCTAAAGTTAAACAATAAAATAAATATATTATAACGTATGAAAATATAAAACCATTGTTTAGTCCAATAATATTGTGATTAATACATTGAATAAATTTATCATATTTAAAAAGTGTAATTTATTTATTTAACAGCAAGACTTTTTAGTAACTTGTCTGTGAATTTGTGATTGTATTAAAATAATTATAATATTTATTAATATTATAATACTTTTACTGTTATGTTTGAATAAGCTATGAATAATTTAATACAATTATAATTAAATATTAATGTTTTTCTCACAATATTTTTTAGGATAATTCAGCTGCAGCCAACCAAATGTTCACAAAGCAAAATCACTATATAATCTTCCATCTAATAAAAGTCTCACTACAGCTTCTCAGTGTATACTATTTAGTGCATACCAAGGCATTTTTATTAATATATGCTTATACTAAATGAATGTTCCTTCATACACATATATGCCACTTCATTTATCCAACATGTTGAATAATATAAGATTCTTCACCAATTCATGGGGTCTCTGGCCCACCTGACGCAGTTCCACACGGTGACCTCATATCCTCTACATCACTTCCTGTACATGCTGAGAGGCAGATCTGTGGATTCTGGCACATTTACTCACACTCATCTGCTCTGCTGACAGTAGTATATTCGAGCCGAGCCCCGCGTCTCTTTGTCCGCGATCATAGCGCTCTCATCATGACCCAAAGGTGATCCTCAGTCCCGGTGGTTCTGGGTGAGTGCGATTTAAAACACACACTCATACATACGACCGCGCGCGCGCGCTCACTCGCTCGCACACAAACACATGCACGGTTCTCTCTTCATTGATGTGTCAGTATGAAGTCATGGCTGCCTGTATTCTTTCTTCCTCGTGTTACTTCGATCACTTTATGGGTTATATTTTATTATTACATGATTGGAAATCAACTAGGTCGTGTTTTACAATGCTGTAGTGATGAATATACTGTTTTATATGGATCCGATTAGTCCGTGAGTAACACTGTTGTGATCTGTAGTATCGTGTGTCCTTTGAATTTGACTAACGTAACGTTTAAGGGGATTCATCTAGCGGCGCGATTTAAAGGGATAGTTCACCGAAAAATGAATCACCAATTATTTACTCAGCCATGTTCTTCTAAATCTGTATGCCATTGTTTCTTTAAATGAACATAAACTAAGATGTTAGGCAGAATGTGAGGTACTGGCAGCCTCAGTCACCATTCACTTTATTGCATCGTTTTGCCGAACAGTACAATGAAAGTGAATGGGGACTAAAATGGCATTCTGCCATCCTCTTTTGTAAGTCATACATGTCATATAAATTAAAGAATTTTCTTCTCTTTTTTTGGTGTAAATTATTTAAGTAATACAATTCATGTTCAATTTGAGCTTCATGAGACAGAGGAGTAGACATTTTGTGCTGGCTAAGCTGTATTGGTTGGTTTGTCACTTTCTTATGATGAGCTATTTGGAAATGTGTCTTGAGCACCAAATCAGCTTGTTTTCTGAAGCATCATGTGACACTGAAGACTGGAGTAATGACTGGTGAAAATTAAGCTTTGACAGAACATGTTTAAACGTCATTTAAAAAAATATAAAAATATGAAAGCGATTTTAAATTGTAATAATATTTAACAATTACTGTTTCACTCTATTTTATTAATTAAATAAAGGCTGCATTGGTGAGTATAAGAGACTTCATTTTAAAAAACATAAAAAAATCGTACCGACCCCAAACTTTTGAGCGGTAGTGTAAGTGTTTGTATATAATTTAACTTACCGGCAAGTTAATGTTCAGGCCCTTTGTTCTCTTGAGCTGTGCTGTTGATGTTTCTGCCTAGTTGATGTTTGGCATCTTTATTTTAATCATTGTAAGTTTTAACTTTGGCATTTATAGGTTTTGTACCTTGATTCAAAGGGCAGTTGTCATCACTTGCCTCGTTTTACATAATTTACCGAAGGCTTCTTAGGATTTCTTGATTGGCTAACTTCAATTTTGGCCCTCTCTATATCTTCTGTTATTAAGCGTTCAGCTGAGACACATTGTTATTTACACCTGGTATGAACATACTTTTCAACACGAGGGTTTTTCCTGCATTGAAAATATTTTAGCGGCCACCGAAAAAGAATCTTTGTCCCACCAAAGATTTAGGCTATATTTGATCATTTAATGTGACGATACCTTCCGTTCTGCAGTACCGGTACTTGCTGATAGTTGGCTGCTTTAAAACGCTCCATGTTTTCAATGGCATCCACTGTAAAAAGCTGCATAAATATCCTTGATCTCTTATAATTTTCCACAGCTCATGTTTTATGGTGTTTTGTCTACTGACATTGTCTTAGAAAGATGCTTTTGCAATGTTTCGTCAGCAGAACAATCCAAAAAACATTAAATAACGGTACAACCCACTGAAGAGATGTAGGTGTATTCCTCACAGCCTCGGTTTCATTCCCGTTAAAAATCAAACACGATGCTGCTAGTTCTAAGCAAGTTGTTTTATCATCTGTCCTTCTGACAGTGGTTGTTTTTTTTATTTCACAAATAAATATGATGTGATTAGTTAATATTACAAACTGTTTCTTTGCATTTAATTTGGATTTATTGTCAGTCCTGGGTTTTCAGTTCACATGGGTCGGGTACTTTGATTGTATTATGTGTGAATGACCTTTTCTTTTTTTTCGCCATCACCGAAGACCATTTTTGACCCAGAAAACGCGTGTATACATCTCAGTATGTCAGTCATTTTCTGCGTGTTGAGCTAAGCAAGAACATGTTTCAAGCTAAAAGTTGTTGTAGTTGAACTTTGGATTTGCTTCAAATAACCAGTCTCTGCCTGTTGTTATCATACTGAAGAAGTTCTGTTAAGTCTTGTTTATGTGTTTGCAATGGCTTTTCCCAATTTTTATGATCAGATAATGCAGTTCTTAAACGTGAAAGTAAAGACATTGTCACACTCACAAAATATTTCTATTTCAAATAAATGCTGTTCTTTTGAACTTTCTATTCATCACTGTTTCCACAAAAGAAATTAAGCAGGACAAACTGTTTTCAACATTGATGATAATAATAGGAAATGTTTCTTGAGCAGCAAATCCGCATATTAAAATGATTTAGAATGATAATGTCTTTATAAGGTCCCATTAGTTAGTTAACATTAGTTAGTGTTAACTAACAATGAACAATACATTTGTTACTGTACACTGTAAATTTTTTTTTATATGATCAATAAGTTATGACACCATTTGTTTTTACATTGCTTTAGCTAATCAAAATAAGTTAAGCAATTTTCAACTTTTTTTTAAGTCAGTTTAATGTAATTTAAGTTGGAATGACTTAAACATCAACACAAGTGGATTGTACTTAAATTTAAGGCAGCAACATTTTTACAGCATATTTATTAATCCTTGTTAATGTTAATTAAAATACAACTCTTTGTTAGTTCGTGTTAGCTCAGGTCCATTAAATTAACACATACTTATAGGCTATTAATAATGTATTAGTAGCCTACAGTTTGAAATTAACATTGACTAGGATTAATAACTGCTTTAGAAGTAGTGCTCATTGTTAGTTTGTCAAGTTAACTAATGCAGTCAACAAATGAAAACTTATTGTAAAGTGTTACCAAAAATACTTACTGACCATAAACTTTTGAATGGTAGTGTTGGAGATAAAAATGTGATTCAGCTGGTGTTATTTAAAGGTGCTATATGTATTTTTTTAGCGGCCTCTATCGGTGATGTTTCAGATTGCAACCAATTTTTACAAGAGCACTCGTGCTCTTGCGCGTTCTCGAACACAAGAGCGAGCACTCATGGTACCGGTGTTGTGCCGGACTTCGAATTCGAATTTCGTAATAATTTGGCAGGGGGTCGAAATTCGGCACAACACACAACATCCTGGAAACTCATGTAAACTCCCACACTGCAACGTTACAATAATAGGCTACTTTTATCAGCTTGACGTTGAACTAATGCTCCATGTTCGTACCATGATAACGTTACATTGACTGCATTTAGCCGACATGTGGTGTTTCACTAACTATTCGTGTATCTTTCACAATCAGCAATGTCAACATAGGTGAATGTATAATATGATAACGAAAACGGGTTAGTGACCTAGACTGAACAATTTCAGTGTAACAGTAAGATCGTAGGAAGTAACATTACTGTACTGAACGTGTCTGGAAATGTGTATTATAAACAATATGATAGTGGGATGAGTGGCGTTAGACAGTAGATCTAGTACATAAAATAAAAGTTACATCCTAAAGCACCTACTTTTTGTTATCCTGGAACATTCTTTTGTATTCATTTCATGTCTCATATATGTTGTAGTTTACCTTGCTATTTCATTACAGTTTACCATTATTTCAGCATATCTGATAGGGGTGTAACAATACATCGATATGGATCGATGTATCGATCAAACGTCTAACGATACGATGCATCGATACCACACATAAAATATCGATGTACGGTACCTTTATTTTGACACACTCCACATCCTCGCGTAACTTTTCTCCGCTGAAATAGACGCCTGACAAGATTGACTGAACCCTTTGTCGCAGAAGCCGGTATTTTCCACTATCATCGCGAGTTCATGTTTTACAGCAGGAACAACAAGCCCCTAAAAGTCTGTTTTAGCAAATCAGTGCGCAGTATTCAGGTCAGGTGACAAGGCTGCTTGTCACTTTGAAAATACGCGCTAGCTGAGAGGAGTTTCGTCAAGCTAACTAAAAGTGATCGAGGATGGATTTCAGCGAACTTGATGAACCCGTGATATTCGGGGCGTAAAAGTAAAATAAAAGCTGAAACTTTGTCACGGAATCTTGCTAAAACAGCACGTTTAGTGGTGAGTGAACAGCTCTCTGTATTTTGTGTACGTTTATCACAACAACAAAGTTTGACAGGCGTCTATATCAGCTGAGGAGATTAGCGTTACAAAGATTAACCAAGTGTTTTATTATGTATCATAGCAAATACTTGGCTTTGAAACATGAAATGTGGAGTTATCTGCTTTTGCCACACAATATATATATATATATATATATATATATATATATATATACATATACATCCTTTCAATGAACTTTAATATAACAGAAGAGTTCATTTGCAAAAACAGATAACTGCGTTCTTGTTCATTTTCATATAGGCTATCATGTTTTTTTTTTTACTTGTAAATGTCCCAATTGGGAGAGGGTGTGCAATTTTTAAAGAGTTTAATTAAACTTTCATGTTATATATATTTGGATGTATTGTGAGTTAATAAACGTAACCGGTTGTGTACACTTAGCACATAATATCTAAATATCGATTAATCGATCGATATAGCCCTGAATCGAATCGAATCGTAATCGAATCGTAGAATTTTTTGAGGTATCGGCAAATATCGTATCGCTGGCTGAGAGAATCGATATCGTATCGTATCGTGATTAACTGTCTGATTTACACCCCTAATATCTGAAAACTTGTAATTTATCACATTAAAAATAGCGGAGGTCTCTCCATAATTCAAACGCTCTGCTGATGTTGATCCGTGTTTTCGTCCTAAGTCCATCCGATTGACGTTTGGCCTGACGAGCTTCAGCAGATACATTTTTGTTTTGTTTTTTATATTTATGTGGAGTTTGTGTCGGAGTGTGTGTTGTGCTGGAGGCAGGTCGTTTTTTGGTGTTATCAGACTCCATGTCGTTAGCTGCAGTGCCGTCGCATAGACTGTATATAAAAAGG